TCTGAGTCACACAAGACCACGGAGGCAGCCCAATGTCAGTCGTCATATGGCTAATCTACCCTGTGTGTAGCTCTTGTGTAGCCCATAATATACCGTACATTGTATGTAATTTGTACATTATTTTCAACCAACTTGGGTAGTAAAACAAATGAAGAATAAACATATATCAACTGCATGAATTATCACGATAACCTTATGTATTTTATGTCTTCGAGCAGTGTAACACCCTACAAACATATAAAATGTATCATTTACGATTTAATGGATATGGTGAGGGTGGGGTGGGGTAGATACTGAGGGAGCTGGACATTCCCACGGACAATTGTATTCCTTTAAAGCTTTGACTTTCTCACTATTCTCGATGTTGAGAAATTATTACCCAGTTAGAGCCCTGGGATTAGCGCTGAAATAGAGACCTAAACTGTCAAATCACTCAGTGCCAACTCATGATCGATGGATATTCAATAATTTGAAGTCAAAGATGGAGTCGAATAAATTTCAGCATCAATAAGCAATATGTTCCAGAAACTTACCATGAAGAAAGTTCTCGAACGATGAAGCTTTACATTTTCAAACAACCAGTGGTGGATGACAATATTTTCCAAAACAAACCTGACTACTCTTCATGCTGAAGAGTCTTTCATCCACGAAACCTGACGAATTAACGACCCAGAGTAAGGTCCACAACCCCTAGTCAATATCGATATGTCACCAGCCATACTTCACGAAGCTAACAATAACAGTTGAAGAGTCCAATGGTTAGTTTTAGAACGATAATAATTTCATGGATGTGTGTTTGATGCGATTGAGGAAGATACGTGCCTATATAGTAGTGAAGTCTCTACAAGGCAAGTTTGACATTAATGAGCACGTTACATCGTGTTTTTTGTATACTGTTATACTTGACTCCAGATACAGCAGTGAGTGAGTCCTCATCTACGTTGCTTATCGCCATATTCCAGCCACAGCACGTCGGGGTACACTGGAAACGGGCTTCACAGGGGCCTTTGTTATGGCGAGTAAACGCTTTTACCAAAACGTTTCCCTACTGACTCCAGATGTATTGACAGTGTCTCTGATTAGATAATGCAAGTTTAGTATGGAAAGAAGATTCTAACAGCTAAAGCTTTTCGGTGAAGGTTAAATCCCAGTAACGGAGGTGACAAGAGCTGCGTGACGCCACAACCACCAATCTGTGTATAGTGGTTTATGTACGCTTCTTTTGTTAAGTGGAGTTTTAATGGCGGGGAAAATATGGGTAATATGTTCGTAGTAGCTGTCATTGGCGGCAATTGATTGAAACTTTTAGTAACAAACACCAATTAGATCCCGTCGCGGGCAGATCGGGACAGCAGTACAGCAGCGAATAGAGCTTTGAACATTTTAAGGTTGGTTTTGTGCTGGAATGAGATTGATCTGCCCTTTTTGTTCAAATGAACATGGATACCCATGAAGGCCCGGATTAGAATAGGTCTCACTCGTGAAAGAACGTGTTAGAATTGGTCTTCGGCAACCCGTGCTTGTCGTAAAAGGCGACTAACGGGATCGGAAGGCCAGGTTCGCTGACACAACAGATCCATCAAGGCTCCCAGTAACATACGTTACTATATCCCATCAGTTGTAACTAGTGGTTGCAACGCGTATTAGAAGAAGAACACAGAAACTTTCGTCTTTCGTATCGTTTCATTTCATATCAACTGTCTTTAAGTTGGGGACAATGAAATAGACTTCAAATAGTATATTATTTTTTCACGATATTGTCTTCCCATAATAACAAAGCAACGGACAAACATCGTTTTCCGCTATTGTTTATTCTTTCATTCCTCCAAGGTATTATTTGAGAGTCAGGTATGGGTATCACTAATACTCCCCTCCTCTGATCTTCCCATGTTCATGATCGCAAATCAAACAGAAGAGGAAACATTTTAAGCATTTTTTTATTCGGTCGTGCCATTCAGGCAATATTTGAGTGTCATTTGTGGTAGCACTAATATTCCTCTCCCTCTTCCTCTCCCTCGCCCTCAACAGAGTCGACTCCAACCTCCTCGTAGTCCTTCTCCAGGGCTGCCAAGTCCTCACGGGCCTCGGAGAACTCTCCCTCCTCCATACCCTCACCCACGTACCAGTGGACAAAGGCACGCTTGGCATACATCAGATCGAACTTGTGGTCAAGACGAGCCCAGGCCTCGGCGATGGCCGTGGTGTTGCTCAACATACAGACAGCTCTCTGGACCTTGGCCAGGTCACCACCGGGGACAACAGTGGGTGGCTGGTAGTTGATGCCCACCTTGAAGCCTGTGGGACACCAGTCGACGAACTGGATGGTTCTCTTGGTCTTGATAGTTGCGATGGCGGCGTTGACGTCCTTAGGGACGACATCACCACGGTACAACATGCAACAGGCCATGTATTTGCCATGACGGGGATCACATTTGACCATCTGGTTGGCGGGCTCGAAGCAGGCATTAGTGATCTCAGCCACAGACAACTGCTCATGGTAGGCCTTCTCGGCGGAAATGACAGGGGCGTAGGTAGCCAGAGGGAAGTGGATACGTGGGTAGGGCACCAGGTTGGTCTGGAACTCCGTCAGATCCACGTTCAGGGCACCATCGAATCGGAGAGAGGCAGTGATGGAGCTGACAATCTGCCCAATCAGTCGGTTGAGGTTGGTGTAGGTTGGACGTTCGATGTCGAGGTTACGTCTGCAGATGTCGTAGATGGCCTCGTTGTCGACCATGAAGGCACAGTCGGAGTGTTCCAGGGTGGTGTGGGTGGTCAGGATGGAGTTGTAGGGTTCGACGACAGCAGTGGAGATCTGGGGAGCGGGATAGACAGCAAACTCTAGCTTGGACTTCTTGCCGTAGTCCACAGACAGTCTCTCCATCAAGAGAGAGGTGAAGCCGGAGCCAGTGCCGCCACCGAAGCTGTGGAAGATGAGGAAGCCCTGGAGTCCAGTGCATTGGTCAGCCAGCTTCCTTGTGCGGTCAAGGACGAGGTCGACGATTTCCTTGCCGACGGTGTAGTGGTCACGGGCGTAGTTGTTGGCGGCGTCCTCCTTGCCGGTGATGAGCTGTTCTGGGTGGAACAGTTGTCGGTAGGTGCCGGTACGGACCTCATCTGGAAACACATAATAATTACATTAAGAAAGGAAAATGATATTGAGCAAATACCGATTTTTCGGACTTGCTTTTGACTCAAGATTGGTAGATAAACATTCAATAGACTCACCGACAACTGTTGGCTCAAGGTCAATAAAGATGGCCCTTGGAACGTGCTTCCCAGCACCAGTCTCACTGAAGAAGGTGTTGAAGGAGTCGTCCCCACCACCAATGGTCTTGTCTGAGGGCATCTGACCATCGGGCTGGATGCCGTGCTCCAGACAGTACAACTCCCAGCATGCATTGCCCATCTGGACTCCGGCCTGGCCGACGTGGATGGAGATACATTCCCTCTGAAGTCAATAAGAAAGCAGTGAAATATCATCTCAAAAAGCTAAGTACAGCATATGTGACGCCATTATTATTATTAATAGTATGGTTCCTTTCTTCATACTGATACAAGTGGGTACAAGGGGAATATTATAATCAGTACACTTTTTATTCTGTATTGATCAGCCATGAGTGTTGAAACTGTGCAAACGCGCACCAGGTAAATGTAAGTTAAGATGATTTTTTAGTATATTCAAACTGGTTTCTTTCCAAATGTAGATTATTTTACAACCTGATATCAGGTGAAATGATTGTGTCTCAGATATTGGCAAATTGAGATCATTCAAGTGAATGCAAACTTTTGTCAAAGTACCCCTTGAAATGAATAAAATCATCGCTATAAAAAGTATTCATAGCGTCTGTAGTTATGGTGGTATGCCATGGTAGGCGTTCACGGCATCTCCTACTTGGATCTAAATTACAAGATACACGTATTCAATTACTACAGCACTACATCGAATCGAATCGAATCGTGAAAAAGAAAGATTTGGTGAAAACTAGAAAGTGTAGTTCTCATCTCACCATGGTTGGTTGGACTGCGGGTTGGAGAGGAACTCAGTCGGTCTACAAGTTGATTGAGGTATGGTGCACCTTGCCGTTGCCCGCTCCCGTTTATACTATTGCGTGTTGTCAGGGACGCAGCTATGGGAACCGGTTGCTGGGTTGACATCACGGCAGGTTCAGTAAAACTGTTAATTGTCAAGGTCTTACAAAGAGGGTGATACGGCTTAATTACTTCATGACACAGATCCTCGTAATGTTAACACATGGTGTTAATTCGTTTGCTTCAGCAAGTGTTCTCATAGTTGCGTGGCCTTTTTTCCAAAAGTATGCGATTTTGTAATGTTTCCCTTTAAAAACACATCACTAAAATGTTATGTGTATAACCACACGTGCCTGTGTGTGTTTGTCTCTGTGCGTGCGTGTGCGTGTATGTGCGCTTCGTGCGTGTGTGTGCGTTTTTATGTGAGAGAGCGTGCACGTGTGTTTGTGTGCATGCGAGTGTGTCGGTTTGCATGCGTACGTGCGTGTGCGTGCGTGCGTGAGTCCGTGCGTGCTCATTAACCCGCCCTACAGTAGATGTAAATCCAGATTTCCACAGGTTGAAACTCTAATCTCACTTGGGCTTGTCTTTATCAAAATCATTTGCAGTAGTATCTTCCATTAATACTTTGGGTGATTTGGGAATGATAGTGTATATGTTCTGTGGAGCATTCTTAAATATTATTATGATTATTTAGACTAGTCAAGTAGTTTTATAAACTATCAATCATCACACTATGACGTACGTTTGCTATTTAACTCAGCAATATTCCACATTTATGTATAGACGGTGGTATTTAAACAGTATATGATATGCTACATAACGAAAAGTGAGTAATGTGTGCATCAATTTGCTATATAAACAATTTTATATATTATTGTTGTAAAACAGTCATTGTGGTATAACTGCCTCAACATAATAAAAACTTATGACGAAAGAAAGCTCGCGCCGTATGCAACCAAGGGAGGTAACTCTAGTTACAGTCGTTTGACTTTCACATTGGAATGGATCGCAGGGTGCACTGAGAATGATGATAAAATCGGTTACTACTTTGCAACGTGGAATACAAAACTAACTCCGTGATGCTTTTAAGGAATATTTCTCGTTGTTTACTTCAAAGACTGCGCCCACAGCATAGGTAAATTTATAGTAGAGAGTGTCACCTGTTTTCGTGATACTAGGTAACGACACCAGATACCTTCATCAATGTGCCTAACATTGCTATATGTATCTATGTACGGCACTGTCTGTGTGTCAGTATATTTTAGGCCCTCTGTGATCAAAAGGACACAGACTCTATGGTATCTCCGGGAATGAATATAAATTCTTCATCTGATAAGGATTAATTTTTTAAAACATGTTTCTTTATTTGTATCTGAAGATACTGAAAGACATATCCAACTTCTGAAAATGCCACTCAAAGGATTTTTTCCTCATCGTTAAAAGTTAGGGGGATACGGGCGGAAGTCTTACGTCCTGAGCCTGAGTGGGATAGACATGTTGAACTGCAGCATGGTATCTCATGTGCACAAGATATTCACATAATCATCATTACTTGATGACATAGATTTAACTGCTGTATATATGTCCGACAGTGTCATTTGAGACGCAGACAAATCTGAATCATCTTCCCTGTGACAGAGCACAATCCTGGTACAAATGTCAGTTTCCCTAATGAAGATATTGACTGAAATCTTACATGTTTCAGTGTGACGCCTGTTCGACATCACAACATCGATGGAAACGTCACAGCTACAGCGACCACGGTCACCATCCTCGGCAAGGAAGATGACACTGTGACCTTTATAGATGCCTACAGTTCGGTTGGATTCAAGCTCAACAATGGTTTCCGGATATTTGGCCCGTGTGCTGTGTTTCCACGATCAGTTCTTCACTGGAATGTACGTTTCACAGTGCACAAATACAATAAGTATTGAAGGAGTAGTGAACATCTAAGATGTCAGTTTGACATGAAATAGATACTTGTAACTTCAACACCTTGGTGTCAAGTACAAGTCCCTCATTAAGATCTGGCCATATGAGTTGACTAACAGAATCAGCTGATCTGACTCACTGGCTTGATTAATGCATGTCATCATATCCATGCTGGGTAGATAAGTGCTCATGATGTCAATCACTGGATTGTCTTGTCACGACTGGTCATATAGCTGGAATATTGCTGAGTTGGGCGTTTACCACAACTAAGCTATTCTCAACAAGTGGCAAGATTACTTAACTCAACATTACTCAGTACCAATGATGTATTCACCCTCTAATTTAAGTCTCCAGTCCATTACGATATGGACCCATGTGTGTCATAGCTTTGTTTGGGAAGTGTTACCCGTAACACTGCATAATATACTACTGATACACAGTGATACAAACCTTGTTAATGGAGAAAATATGTAGACATGGTAAATATGTGTATTCCGTGGGTTTTATGAAAATGAAATATTTATTTCAATTTTCCTGTGAGAATTTGACTGTAAACATTCTACAGAAAGATAGTAAGTAAATGGGGCTGGGATGTTTAGTCTAACAACATGGTGATATGTTACTGAAAATAATCAAGGACTTAATTCATTAACCTGGTGATTAGCTCATCTTGAAACCCAGACTCCAGCACTGACAGGGTTTCTATCTATACAGACAAGAGTTATGTCCCTTAGATCATGAATCTGTGTTTGTTGCATAGCATGACACAGCTGAATACAGGCATTACCTGAAATAGTCCCAACCCTTATTGTTGAGAGTGACTGAATGTATCAGTATGTAGATGTGATATGTGAAAGTTCTGTTTATTGTTCTGTTACTTGTTTTGAGACTTGTCCCAGTGGAGCTTGTTATACTTTAGTCACACGTTTGTTGTTATCCAGGTGAGCGGGCCGGAGGACATCAGCCAGGACTCACTTTCACTTTTCACCATCTTGGAACCGAAGATAGGTATGCAGTTTCATTGTGTAGGCAGTGTCAGTATCGAGTGAGTGTCATTAAGTATGCTGTGTCAGTGTGTGGACGGTAACAGTGTGAATACAGTGTCATTAAGTATGCTGTGTCAGTGTGTGGACGGTATCAGTGTGAATACAGTGTCATTAAGTATGCTGTGTAAGTGTGTGGACGGTATCAGTGTGAATACAGTGTCATTAAGTATGCTGTGTCAGTGTGTGGACGGTATCAGTGTGAATGCAGTGTCATTAAGCATGCTATGTGTGGACAGTGTGAATACAGTGCAGTGTCATTGTGGAAGTATGCTGTGTCATTAAGTATGCAGTGTGTGGACAGTATCAGTGTGAATACAGTGTCATTAAGTATGCTGTGTCAGTGTGTGGATGGTATCAGTGTGAATACAGTGTCATTAAGTATGTGTGTAAGTAAGTATGCTGTGTGTCATTAAGTATGCTGTGTCAGTGTGTGGATGGTATCAGTGTGAATAGTGTCATTAAGTATGCTGTGTCAGTGTGTGGATGGTATCAGTGTGAATACAGTGTCATTAAGTATGCTGTGTAAGTGTGTGGATCAGTGTGAATACAGTGTCATTAAGTATGCTGTGTCAGTGTGTGGATCAGTGTGAATACAGTGTCATTAAGTATGCTGTGTAAGTGTGTGGATCAGTGTGAATACAGTGTCATTAAGTATGCTGTGTCAGTGTGTGGATGGTATCAGTGTGAATACAGTGTCATTAAGTATGCTGTGTAAGTGTGTGGACGGTATCAGTGTGAATACAGTGTCATTAAGTATGCTGTGTCAGTGTGTGAATGGTATCAGTGTGAATACAGTGTCATTAAGTAACCAGTGTCAGTATCGAGTGTCATTAAGTATGCTGTGTCAGTGTGTGGATGGTATCAGTGTGAAAACATTGTCATTAAGTATGCTGTGTCAGTGTGTGGATGGTATCAGTGTGAATACAGTGTCATTAAGTAACCAGTGTCAGTATGGTGCGTGTCACTGTGTAGACACTGTCTCAACTTTTTGTTTCAGTGTATACACAGTGTCAGTGTGTAGGTAGTTTGTTTCAGTATATAAACAGTGTCAGTGTACAATAAACATCCGTCAGTGTTTCATTCACACCAAGTGGACTGTGACCGATCCACTCACCCTTGACCTTTCAGACATCCTGGTTCTTGGTATCGGGGACAAAGGAGCAAAGTATGACACCAGTATCATCAAGTATCTCCGCAGCAACAAGATCAACGTGGAAGTCCTACCCACGGTCAGTCAATCAGAGTGGTGGCGTGTTGTAGCTGATGTGGAGTAGAAACTGAAAAACTGGTTAAACTTATTCCCCTCTAGACCTCTGTGTTTTGGGGATACAGTGTCTGTCAGGAGAGAGGATTGTAAGAGGTTTGATCAATGTGTCATACAGATGGTTCTTGCAGTGACCCTAGCCTACACTGGCATCTTCCCATTATGACTACTCCCATTTGTCAACTCATGAACATAAACATATAATGGAGCACCCCTACATGTAATGATGTACTGTACCTGTATAGAGCCTGATGCTCAGCATTGGGAGGAGAAAACAGACACTGGTCAACTTGGAGTCAGTATACTGTGTCTGATCGATATATCCTTTAAACTCATTCAGGCACAAATGCACTCACATGCAGACACTCTGAGAGAGAAGGGTCATTTGCCGGTTTCCTGTGTATAAGTGAGTGAGTGAGTTAAGATTTAAAGTCACATCGGCAATATTTCAGCCATATCGTGACTCCTGTGTATAAGTAAATACAATAGTTTTGTGTATCATATATCATTTCAGGACCAGGCGTGTTCGACCTTCAATTTCCTCAACTCTGAGCGGCGGTATGTGGCTGGTGCTTTGATTCCCCCGACATACGTTCACATCCAGCACGACGAGGATGCACAGGTCCGCACACAGCTGGAAAGGCGGGGTCTGTACGATATGGAGTTCAACCGGACCCCTGACACACCAGGGGAGTTTGAGGAGGAGGTCAAGGACATCAAACAGAGAATGTCCAAATACATCTCCAGAGAGGATGACCCTTCCAAGAGAAAGTAACTCTTGTGGTGAACGGATTTTACTCAGGAACATTTACAAGCTGTGAAAAAGGACAGTTATTGTTGTTCTTCATCCTTGGCATCAGGTTTGTCCCTGGTTGAAGAACAGACTCCAAGGCAAATATAGATATAGATGCTGATGTTCTATGCAGCATTACTGTGTTTGCCAATTAATTTCTGATGTTGATGGAAGGCAATGTTTTGTTTCTTGGCAAGACAAATGGTAAATCCCATGGACTCACTGAAGTTATTTGTACTAGAAGTGTTAGATAGTAGAGAAATAAAGCAAGGATAAGTCTTTATATTGAACACTATTGGTTTACTGGTCTTTTGTTTTGAACATTTCAAAGGGTTACACTTGTTATTCATGTATGTCAAGTGTGTGAATATTTGTGGCATGTCAACTGGTCAAGTAAATTTACAGTCACACAGCCTTGTGACCTGGAGTTAGATCTAGTCCACATTATACTGACTGACTGAGTTTGGTTTTACGCCGCTTTTAGCAATATTCCAGCAACATCACGGCGGGGGACACCAGAAATGGGCTTCACACATTGTACCCATGTGGGGATTCGAACCCGGATCTTCGGCGGGACGAGCCAACGCTTTAACCATTAGGCTACCCCACCGCCCCTCCACATTATAAACAGTGAAAATACTGTAAACTGTCCCACATCCATTGTCCAAGAAAAAAACAACCGTGACAAAATTCACATAATTCATTTATTATTGCCTCACGTTTCTATGTATATCAAACAATACACAAAACAAGCCTACTGTGTGTATATAATTTACAAGAGACACTTTTAATTGAGAACTAATCACTTACATTAATAAATGTAATAACAAGATGTATAAAGCATAGATTGTATGAACACTGACTGCACAGGACAATTGTTCCAACTCACAGTGTACCAGCCATGCAGACACCTGGACACATGAGACTGCGCTACACGCAGAAACATAAACACAGCTTCTCACATTACCACCAAAAACCTTTGAAAATTCTAATACCAATTTCAACAAAATCAGCACTACCCTACTAATACATTGGAAGAGTCCATCATGGACTGAGGGTAATCAGGTATATGATCCATATTTAGCACCACCAATGAAATATAATTTCAGCCATCAAAATCAGTTCCATAATTTTCATACCTGTTATCCACAGAACCTTCAGAAAAGTAGCAAGTTTTCAATTCTACACAATAGTGAAGCACCATGGTCAGATGGAAACTTAAAATAAATGGATTTCTATTTCTGAATCATGTTTCAGCACCATCAAACTGCTGGATTACATAATGCTCTGAAGTCTATCAGACAAAATGTCAGCAATGTGATGGCATTTCCCTAATAACTAAATCAAATCAGTTTAAAACATTTTTTCCGTTTTTCATAAAAATGTTGCAAATATTTTCCTTCACCATTACTATGTCACATTGACTTATCTCACTAATTTGGTCATATGGTTGCAAAAGCTAATGGTAACCAGATTTTGATTCATTAACAGAATATTATTCTTCCTCTATGTCCAACATGTTAGCCATTCATGAACAAAAGTACACTTACATCACTAACCTGAACATCGCTTTGATTTGTTCAAGAAACAAATTTTGCAAATATCCTACTGCAGTCCAATGTCAGAAACCAGGGGAGGTAATCCATCTACTGCATCGCAGGTGCCCAATGCGTGCAAGATGATGAAGGTGAATATTAATCAATACAAAGGTAATTGGTGTATGATGAAGTATGAATTCATATAAAAATATATGTGCAAGAGTTTAAATGTTCATTTAGAATATCAGAACTAGGCAAATTACTCCTTCGCAAAGTAACTATGTGAAAATACATCCTTTTGTTAAGGCGGCCATTTCTCTCTAGGTTTACAACATGGTACAGAAGTTTTACAAAGGATGGATGGTAAAGCTAAGCAGTAATACACTTATGACATCTTATTAAAATTTCACAACAACAAAACTGCCACAAAGTTGTTCCTAAGAAAGATCCAGTATTTCCTGCAAGCCATTTAACTAAATTTTACCCCTTTGTCCAAGATTAGTTTCACCTTTTCCCAATATTAAGGCCAAGTGTTGTTTATGTGTATCGAAAATTATCAGGGATGTCCTCTATTGTGGTTACCATGGCTACATGAAGGATAACGTGGTATCTTTCATCTTTGGTATGTTCCTCCTTGGAAAGATGAATGACATCCCATTAAAGAATGTGGTGTTGGTGTAGCTGTGATAGCACTCATTCAAACGCAGCCTTCCATCCATCAGCACAAATATCAGAGCATGCTACCATGCCTATTTGACAAACAAACTCAACTCATGATGTTGATGTGTACAAGTGATGGCGCTCTAATTGAGACCAGTTATCTATTATGCTTTGAATGTTGCAGTTGGTAAGGGTAGATAACTCTAGTTACATGGAGACCAAATATCAACATAGATCTTGTAAAAACAAACTGGTGAAGTTGATGGAGTTATCTCCCCTTGAGTAAGTTCAGCATGTGAAATTGCCAAGGGGGGTAATCATGAGATGACTGTATACAACGATGAATCAGACATTGAAGGATGACTTTTTCTACAATAAAAATCTTATTTACATTTGACATACATATCAGTTTGTGGATTAACATAGCGTCAATTCAAGCAAACAGGTTTAAATATATACCTGATAAAACATGTATAACTGATAAAAACACTTATTGTTGATGAAAAGAAAAGATAAAAATCTAAAACTATTCTGCTCAAAAACATATACAGGACATATATGTATATATTCATTCCCACCAGTACAAATGTTTAAAATCAACATATTTGCATTTGGTTTGTATGTATTTTACACAATTTGTTTCTACAACACAACTATAGTATTATTAAAATACAAACCAACAACATGTGTTAATATATATATATAATAATAATAATATATAAACTCATTTGAATAAGCTACATAAAATGTGACTTCTGTATGGTAGTTCTCAAGGACATGTACACAAGTAGAGATTGAAAATGAACACAATAACTTCAAAACATCATAGATGAATACTTGGTGTTTGTGAGCTTTGTTTTATATATTATAATTGTATTATGAATTTGACTTTTTTTCATATTTTATATCATCTTTTTCATAATAAAGTCATAAGTTAACAACACAAACAATATTGAACACTTACTCATCACATTATAACATTGTATGTTTTCCCCCTTGGCACCATCAAGTGGGCTGCTGGAGAAAGTTTGACACACCTGGGATCCTGTGCAAGACTTTAGACACACCCAGGATCTGGTCTGAGAAGCTTGACACGTCCAGCATCTGGACTGAGAAGCTTGACATGCGCAGGATCATGTGCAAGAAGCTTGACATGCCTATTATCCTGTGCAAGAAGCTTGACATGCCCAGGACCCTGTGCAAGAAGCTTGACATGCCTACTATCCTGTGCAAGAAGCTTGACATGCCCAGGATCCTCTGCAAGAAGCTTGACATGCCTAGGATCCTCTGCAAGAAGCTTGACATGCCTACTATCCTGTGCAAGAAGCTTGACATGTCCAGGATCCTCTGCAAGAAGCTTGACATGCCTAGGATCCTGTGCAAGAAGCTTGACATGTCCAGGATCCTGTGCAAAAAGCTTGACATGCCTAGGATCCTGTGCAAGAAGCTTGAAACAGGATCTTGTGCAAGAAGCTTGACACCCTGCAATAATCTTTAAGAAGCTTGACCCAACAGGATCCCATGTAAGAAGCTTGACCCAACAGGATCCTGTGTGAGAAGCTCGACACACCAGGATCCCATGTAAGAAGCTTGACCCAACAGGATCCTGTGTAAGAAGCTTCACCCAACAGGATCCTGTGTGAGAAGCTTTACACACCAGGATCCCATGTAAGAAGCTTGACACACCAGGATCCCAATTAAGAAGCTTGACACACCAGTTCTTAAGCACAATTTTCCACTGACTTACTGCGGTCACAAAGTTTAATTACATGAACTATTCAACCTCAATCTCAAAATGTCTACCTTCAGACTAATGCCCTCTTCCTAACAAAGATTTTAATACAGATAAGCAGTTTGATTTTCAACTAAGATCTCAATACTGTAAATGGGGTTTGAATCAACCTTTAATTCTCCAAGTTGTCAACATCATATGTTTACTGAATAAATGGTGGCCTCAAAACCAAGTGTGTACTCTGGATACATCATCGTTTAAAAATAGTCAGCAGCCAATGATAAATATCAAATTATTTTGCACTAAAAATGTATGTGACAATTAACAAACTTATTCAGTTTCAATGTTCCACAAAATGATTGCTAGTTCACTTGTGTGTCAAGCTCCTGCCGTGGTCCTCCATCCTCCTCCTCCTCCCGACTAATCCCTTCTACCACCCTTCCTCTCACTCACAAGGTTACATAATACATAGGATTTCTATATTTTCTATTATACATTCATTTACTTACACATATACCAAACCAGTAAACCTTTTCTTCATACAAAAATATCCCTGAATAAGCAGCTGATGGCAAATGTTTTGGCTAAGTACTTCTTGATTTCTTACCAAAAGTTCAGATAAGAGAAAGTTTAAGTCTTTACATCCGAGAATATGTTGTCTGCTAACACATGAAACTGTTACCATATTCGACATTTTAAGTGAACTGTTCTATTCAAAGCAAACATACTTTCCAATTTCTTAGCACAAGGGAAGTTGCAGTGATACAAAGCTTTATGATTCCTTTACAACAATGGATCCAGGAATTTCACAAGGTGATCTCGATAAAACATGCACATTCATGTATATATTATTTGGGGGCAATACATTGACATGTGACCACAAATTTTCATCCCAGACCCTCCCCCATCACAACTGTCCCAACTACAACTTATCCACAACAATCCCATCCTCAACTTATTCACCTCTCATCCCCAAACCAGTCAGTTCATCCTTTAAAAACCCACAACTTCCCCTACTATCACATCCCCGAACCATCCCATCCCTTAAAACACCCACAACTTCCCCTACTATCACATCTCCGAACCATCCCATCCCTTAAAAAGCCCACAACTTCCCCTACTATCACATCTCCGAACCATCCCATCCCTTAAAAAGCCCACAACTTCCCCTACTATCACATCTCCGAACCATCCCATCCCTTAAAAAGCCCACAACTTCACCTACTATCACATCCCCAAACCATCCCATCCCTTAAAAAGCCCACAACTTCCCCGCCCACAACTTCCCCTACTATCACATCCCCAAACCATCCCATCCCTTAAAAAGCCCACAACTTCCTCGGCTATCCCATCCTCAACTTATCTACCCCCCATCCCAAACAGCACATCCCCGAAAAACCTGCAACAACTTGTTCAAACTATTCCATCCCCAACCAAACCTCCCTGAACTCCCACCCTGACAATCTGGAATTGGCCTCTGCATTGTGCTTGAAATGTACAGAAGCACTTCAGTGCAATGGCAGCAGTAGCTGGAAGCACTCATAAAATTGCAAACATGTAAGTGCATCAAATGGTACACACCTTCACAAACTTACTGCACTGTCAGTCCTAAAGGGTAAAAGAAGCAGTAGTTTTCAGTGTGGAGAGACTCCTCACTCAGACAATGAAGCAGATTATCAGTTCTCAACCAGCATGTCATTAATCATTGTTAACAATCTACTTACCATTAACAAACAAATTATCATAGTCACACGTCTATTTCATCACTGCCCACGGTAAATGTCACTAAATATGTCGAATATGGTAAAATGTTTGAATCACATACCAAACTAGGTCAAACGATTTGTTCTTGTACAAAATGAGACGGACGAAGGTAAATCAATATTTTGTTCTTGACATAAACATGCAAATAATGCTACTGATGAACACTGAATCTGTATCAACGACTCATTTGATTGTGTCTGCATGTGCTAGGACTAAGATTAGTGAGTGAACCTAAGTACCAGTTCAGGCTAGGAGTCTACTCCGACAACACCTGGGATACCATCACAGTAAACACCTGTAGCAAACTGGACATATTTGATGTAGACAGAGACAAAGTCTACTGTGTTACACCCAATTTGTCAAAATCTGTTTCAGTAGATTTTTCTATACTGTATATACTGTGGATTATTATCAGTTGACTGTTAAAAACCAAATACAATTTAAAGAGACTCTTTAGACTTGGTACTGTCTTAATGGCAAACAATGCATATAAAAATGTTTAATAGATCTCTTAATAATGTAACAGGACGTGTCAGTGTCATCATTTTACTACTGACTTTGATCTAAAATGAATTATAACAATGTAACATATGTTATATTTGGGATTACACTTTCTTAGTAAAGTACAGATTCTAGTACTTTTGTTGGGTTGAGTACGGGATTCGAACCCACATCCTCAGAGTCAGGCACCTAAATGCCAGCACACAAAGTCACATATCATATTTTAAAACAATATCTTAAAATCTAACATTTCAGAAAAATGGGGATAAATGCAAAAAGTGGCATACCCTTGAAAAGAGGCTTTACACTACTGATTCATTATCAGCTTCACATCACTGCTGCCAACAGGATCAGCAGCTATGGACGTGGAGGGAGGCAAGCCAACATCTGTATTCCATCAAACTCATCCTATCTGTTATAATTTGTGTTAACACAATACAGGTGTTTACTATGACAGCACTCAGATCTTGCTCTCAGGACATCACGGTTCACAAAGGAAACAGTTTAAGTATTTTCACAAGATGATCTTGCCTACACTGCACCTATGCTGAGACTTTGAAATATTTTCTCCATTCTCAAAGCAAACAAATCACTTCACAAATAATTAACTTATTTCAAAAACCTTTAGACCAGATCTGAAATTACAGCTTTACTGCAACTATTAAGTACATTTCCATAACATTTGTGAAATAAGTTATGTATAAAGTACAGGTCAATTTGAAGTAAGAGAGCATACATGTTCATTTAACATTAATGTATGAATAATGACACTTCCACTCCTTGGATTGCTGGAACAAACCGACACGGGTCAGGGTGGTCTCCCCTTAACACGGTCACACGTTTAATATTGAAATGTTTCTCTGAATCAAGTGTCAGTGAACCATACTGTGTACCAGAGGGGCACCTGCTGTAGGCTTCACTGAACTGTTGTGACCAGTAAACAAACATATACCACAGATAATATCAGGATCTGGACCATAAACCTGTTGTCATGAATATCTGGATGTTGATCGTACGTGCCGACAAGTATCAATTCATTTAAGTACATAGGTAGATTTCAAAAAAAAAGAAATGCCGACCCACCTAATTTAAATAATTTTGTATGGTAGCAGACACCCATGCATGCTCAGTTACTTCTGAAATGACCGTACATAGAAACAAATCCGAAGAATCTATGCATGTAATGTACATAGTATTAAGCATTAACCACCTTTCACTTTTCTTCTGTAATTTGCAACACTTTAAGTAATAAAAATTTAAACAATTAAACTTTCAAGTGTGATCCTTGAATACAAACAAGTATCCTGATACAACCTTCACTGAAGATCATAGCCTTTGGCAACAAAATATGTGCTTCTTAACACACTCTATCAGTGCTAAAATGCAGAAAATCTCCCAAATGTACAAAAAGGAGGAATTTTTCAAAATTAATTTGCATAAATCTTTCTGAGCTCATTTAAAACCTGCAATACCAGAGAAAAATATTTCTTGAATGTAACCAAACAATTGTAACATCAGATAATTCATTTATGATGAAATACTCTAAAAGGTATTCTGAACAAGCCAACAAACTATCACTCAGTTAGTCAGACATCATCTTCAGTGAAGGGTGCACAGTAAAACAGTTTGAACTTGATATATATGAGAGGCAATGAGACACATAAACAAAACTTAACAAACACTCGTCTATTCAAATGAATATCTATTCATGACATTATAGAGCACCCCACATCGGTATGGGTCTGGGGGCATCTGACTCTCCGCAGTGTTGGGTCGGGCCATAAAGTCCCGGTCTTGGTTGACCGTTGGGCCCGCTGAATGAGTCAGTTTGGCTGCCGTCGAGTACTGCCTCTCTTCTAGAAATGGATACGGGGCGTTTTGATGAGGGTAAAGGCTACGATGGGGATATTCCCTATCAAACACAGAATGTTGAGTGGGTGTACTATGCGTCAGGAAAGCACTATTAGTATTGTCACCAACATGTTGCGGATGATACACAGGGTCTCTGGGATACATATATTTGTCTAAATTGAAACTGCTATTTACACCAATGCCACTGAACACATCAGTGGAAGAAGTTTGGGGCAAACCTCGGAAGTCACTCATGGCTGTACCAGCAGTCTGACGATAACGCTCGTCGAAAGTTTTAGTGGCAGTTCCACATGGTGGCCTACTATAGTCTAATGTAGCAGTTCCTGAGTACGGATGACTTCCGAAATAACTCAATTCAAGTGGAAACGTCTCTGGGGCCAGTTCTCTCTGGGGCTGCGGAGATGAGAGGCTGGCAAACATATTACGCTCTGTCATTGTCCTAGAGGGGTCAAACATAAAGTCGCGACTGGCGAGGTAGTTGTCTTTGGCAAAGAGCGTTGCAGGTGTGGTGTTCGGCTGTCTATCTATTGTGCGCTGCAAGTATGGAGCCTGTGGCCAGTGAGGAGGCCGTACCTCCTGCCCCGACCATGTGTTTGTGAAGGGGTTCCTCTGCATGGTCTGAGGCATGGCAGTGGTGGGAAACATGTCCGTACTTGGCATGGTTGTTGGTCGGCGAAGAAGAGCTGGGTTAGTTGGTCTCAGTGCTGTGTCTGGGAGACGTGAAATAGCAGTTCTATCATTTTGAGGCAAGAAAGGTGTGGTCATTCTCTGCCTCATTGCCTCACTCTCCCCAAGCCTCATGAAACTGCTACCTGTGGTTTGTGCAGAAAAGATATTTTCATTCTGACGCAAGAAATTATTCTCTCTAGATACACTATGAATTGAATTGAGTGGATTAAATGTTTCAAATGGGGCAGGGTCTGGCAGTCGTGGAAGCGCAGATGCTGTGTCCCTCTGGAAGTGTTGTTCCTGAGAACGATCACAGGCCAAGATTTCCATGCGTTTATGGGACATATCATGAAATGGTTGCATACTTGTGTGAGTGATTACATTACTGGCCACAGATGCTGCTCTTGGGATATCTCGACTGTCCTCATGAGGCTTCTCTGCCAGTTCTTCTAGCCTCTGGAGACGGTTAGGCTCTTCTGGAACAGCTTCTCTTGGAGTGTTGCCAGGTACATTGAGGTCCTGGAGATACTGCCCCAGGTAATCCTTGTCACACTCAGGTGCATGGGCCTGATGAGGGAATTGAGCACTTGGTTGAGGAGGAGGTGGTGGTGGTGGTGGTGGCTGAGCATCATCTTTAGGAGGTTCCACACTAGGCAACGGTTGCTGCTGATCTTGGGACACTTGGGACAAAGGTTGATTGGACATGGGTTGGTTGGACATAGGTTCTGGATGAGAGAGTGGTTCTTGGATAGGAACAGGAACAGAGACAGGAGCAGGGAGAGGAGATTGCACAGGCTGCATCACTTCCTCCACCTCCTCTTCCTCCTCTGATGGGCTCTGAGGTGGAGGAGGAGCAGGTGCTCGAGGTGGAGTTAGGAGAATATCATTGGGGACTTCATCATCAGAGGAGACTCTCTGTTCTTCATCATCTCCTTGCTGTTCTTCAGTCTTTTCCTCAGGTTCCTCAACCAATGCTGGTGAGTACTGCCTCATATCCTGCTGAGAGTTCAGATCTTTCATAGTGGAATCATCAATAATAGGATTTTCCTCAAGAGATCTATCAATTGCCTCTTGCTGTGCTTGTCCAGGAGACATGGCCTCTTCTTTGGGCACTTCAAGGACAGTAGGAACTTCAAGTTCCTGGTAGGCTTCCTCTAAGTTCTCCTGCTTCTCCTCAATCTGTTCCTGTTCTCGTTCCTCTTGTTCAACCGGCAGAGGCTGAGGCTGACCCTCACTCTCATTGTCACTGAGGAGTGGACTACACACACTGCGGTCACTGTGGGGGCTATGTGGACTTGGGGAACTGTCATCACTCTCTGGACTTTGTGGTTTATGAAGAGTCTGTGGAGATGGAGGCTGAGGTTCTGGAACAACCTGGGGTTCAACTGGGATTTCTACTTCAGCTTCAGGTTCAGCTTCCGGCTGTGGTTCAGCTTCAGGTTCCTTCTCTTTCTCAACACTTGCTTCCTTCTCTTCCACCTGTTCCTTGGATTTATCTTCATCAACAGCAGCTGCCTTCTTAGTCTTTGTTTTCTTCACAGATGTTTTACCCTTAGGCTTTGTTTCCTTCTTCTTAGAAGGAGACTTCTTCTTTGCTGCCTTCTTGGTTTGTGGAGATACTTTCTTTTTTGACACTGGTGTCTTCTTCTTGGCTACTTCTGGACACACTTTCTTCTTCATTCCCTGAGACTTGGGTGATTTGGGTGACTTTGGAGTCTTTGGAGCTGCTGTTGCTTTAGGAGATTTGGGAGGAGTGGATGACTTGGTTGATTTCAATGCCTTTGTTGCTTTAGGTGACTTCACCTTTTTAACAGATTTCGGAGAAACCTTTTTGCTAGCCACAACTTTCTTCTTCTTCTTTTTAGGAAGTGTCTTTACAGGCTCCTTATCTTTCTCTTTCTCTTTTTCTTCCTCATCTTTTTCTGTTTCCTCCTTTGGTGCATCTCCATTAGATTTCACCCACTCCGGCAGAGGATTGTGTTTAGGCTCAAGTTTGGCAGCTTCATGAAGCTGATCAAGAGCTTCTCGTGTGAGGGTATGAACTCTTGGCTTGTCCCTACGGAATACAACTGGGAGGTCATCACCAGAATCATCATCATTGAAGTCATACAGATCAATACCCTTATCAGGCTTTGCACTGGTAGACTGTTCACTTGTTGTAGCTGTTACAGCTGTTGTATCTGCAGCAGCAGCAGCATCAGTAACAGCAGCAGCAGCAGCAGAACCAGTAGCAGCAGCATCAGGGGCTGTAGGAGGAGACACACCATTCACTTTGGGCTCACTGCTGTTTTCACTACTCCCAGAAACAGGGGTCTCACGTGGCTGTTCCGAATCTTCTCCTGGCTTTTGTGTGTGGTGCCTCTTGATATGCCACTGTAAAGAGTTCCTCTGTCGACAGGAGAAGCTGCACATAGTACATTTGATGGGTTTCTCATTGGTATGCTGCCTTTGATGCACCTTCAAGTTGTCGGAGTGCCGGAAGGACTTGCCACAGTCTGGCCACGTACAGTGATAGTTCCTCTCTCCTGAAACACACAACAGTCAGAGTCGGTTTTAGAAATACAAATACTTTTTAAATCAAGTAGGGACATTTAGGAAGAAAGGTTTTGGTAGCTTCTTAATCAATAGTAGCAGTGGCAAATGGCAGTTGTCTGGAGGTGAAATATTGAAATTTTACGGTCAAATAGTTTCATAGTAAAGAGTAATTCAGCTGAACCGACTACATCAAAGTGCTACTGCATGACCCTGATTACGGTGATAGTTATTTCCAACACTACTGACCCAAAGCACTTAGCCCTTCACTTACCATTGGTACACAGTAAGGCTCGCCATTTAAAACCAACAATTTATATAAGTATTTTGTTGTTTATATAACATTGTATTACACATTTTCATACCTGTGCCTACTCAGCTCCTTTATTTTCACTTAGGTATCACTTGTTGTCACAAAGAAAGTATGTATCATGGGCCCAAGGCCTCTTTATTGAATAAATGTGTTTATCTGTCTATTTCAAACTCTTAGATTTAAATGTCTTGTTTTGACTCATTTCATGGAGGCCCCAAAAGGATCTTAACACGCATGCAGATGCTATTTTGCCAGGTGAAATAGCAGAAATATGTGTCGTCAAATTTCAGCAAGTCATGTTATTAAGATAAAACAACTGGCAGTGTTCTAAATTAGGAGGGAAAGTCCTTGTCTAACCCTACTGTCAAACCGAAAGATTTCGAGTCCCATGATTCATCTACCATTTCTGTAAATCATGACATTATTGCGAGCATTTTATTAATGCGCAAAATGTGTCTGTACTCTTCTCGCACTATAATGATGGTGCATTTCAGTCCGACCATGACTACTTTTAATAACTTAATAAAAGACAGAAAACGTAAATCTGTTGACACTACACATTACACCAATACAGGTCACTTCCTCATTACAGGTATCTCAAACCACATGTAATTATCACTGGTTACAACCACTGGTCATTGTCTAAAGTCACTCAAGCACATCAGCCAGACCGGACATTCTCGAACCTAGAAGTCTTTGAAGTCAGATTACGTTATACATGTTGTCATAAGACAAGTAGTAGCAAGCAATCGCGTGATCAAACAAGGCAGCGTACTCAAAACATCATCTGCTCATTTCTATTCATTGCATCACAAGCTCAGGTTATTTGGTAAATAACAAGTGTGAAACGAAAAAGAACAACAAATATTCAGGTTGTCACATTTTATCATCAACAGATTCCTGAGCTTGCATTAATTTTGTGACGCATTGATTTCATGATTTACAGTATAGTCTGTTTGCAGTGAAAACATACCGATGAATTTCACTTTAAACAAAAAAGTAAATCGAATAAAGTGAAATTAAGATTGTGAATCCTCATAAATTTGACCTTGCCAATTGAACATTTAAGAGAATTTTATTCATCTTAGGATAAAAGTTGTTTAACAAACGATCATAGTTTCAAACCGCTATTATTGGTATGTATTACATGGGGGTATGCACACTAGATGAAACACCGAGAACAAGTAGGGTTAGTCTAAGTTAAAGCTCATCACGAACCTCACGTGCATTTGTGTCACTGTCCAACTACTATGCTTACCCCCTTGTAATACAAACCAATAATAGCGATTTGAATCAATGATCGTTTGTTAAACAACTTTTATCCTAATATGAATAAAAATTCTGAGATTTAAATGTTGAGTTGGCAAGGTAAAATTAAGAGGATTTGCAATCTTAATTTCACTTTATTTGATTTACTTTTTTTGTTTAAAGTGAAATTCATCGGTACGTTTTCACTGCAAACAGACTGTAGCAGGAGGTGAAAAAAATGATCCTACCTGCCTACCTACCTGTCCTAAAGTTTAAAGAGGTGTAATTTGAACCACAACATTTTTTTTTATTTGGCCTAATATATCCATCCCGCCTGAACTGCATGGACAAACAAATATACAAATTCAGCAATAAATTCTGATAAATTCTGCAACCATTCTTCAGGAATCCTTCACAAAGTTCTGCAATATGATATTTTTTCCAGAAATCAAAGCCTTTTTTGACAACTGAATCCATGATTTGTGAACTGACAGTCAGAGCATGAAACAGAAAGACATGTGTTTCCCTTAATCACAATACAAAAGTCGGATTCATTTGGAAACGAAAACAGAATATTGATTTTAACACTTCTATCATGTAAAAGTCTTGTACAATCAATTGTAGAATGTGGACTGTTCTAAAACAAATACCATAAATAATTATTTATAGGTATCACATAAAAATGTTTTTAAATTGACACAAAAAACAAACAATTTATTGATATGTTGACGGTTTGTTTCTGAACGCCATTACAACTTTCACATACTGAGAACTGTTTTTTAATGTGAACTGAAAACTTCCAATGTATTTTGACCATGTTCTGCATACAAGGTGACTTTCCTCAAGATACATCTCTCGTGGGTACAGTTGAGTGGTTCAAGGTGCAGAGTCCAGTTGCTTTGCAGTAGCAAAACTAATGACAAGTAATAACCAGACTGCAAGACGCAAGCTAATTCTACTGTTTACACTGACGCTAACTGAATACAACCAGCATCCCCATGACCCACTACTCCGGTGCAGCAACAGGCACAGAAACAGATGGACCATTCCCATCTCACCATAATCATATTTAATTTGTACAAGGATGAAAATCAATCTTAGAACAATAATTCTAAGGTTTTGATGCATTTTGGAGGTCGGAGAGCAAGAAAGAAGGAAAATACACTCAAATTAATTTCACATTATGGTACAGATTTTAAGCCTTTGTGCTTAAAACACTATTAGGCAGACCAAATTATTAATCCTCCAGCCAAAAATGACTTATTTTGCAATTTTGATATTGATTTTTCTTCCGCTACATGTTCAGTTGACCTGTCTTTCCAGTGTTGTATACAGAGCAAGCTGAGCAGACGGCTTACTTTAGTTTGGACAGTTAACAAGACAATGTCGATATTTCACATACAACAGACGTGAGCTGAAAAACATGCCAAGGACTAGATAGAATTATATAATGTATGGGTTATTCATCAAAATGTGTTTTTCATCTTTCTTGATTCCTGTTTTTGACTTTCAATATCAAAATTGTAGGCTGCTGAAACTGGTCAAGGCACCACCATCGTGCATCCCTTACATAGTACCCAACAACCCCAAACCCTGTGAAGCCTTCCATTTCTAGGGTTACCCAGCCCCAAACCCTGTGAAGCCTTCCATTTCTAAGGATACCCAGCCCCAAACCCTGTGAAGCCTTCCATTTCTAGGGTTACCCAGCCCCACACCCTGTGAAGCCTTCCATTTCTAAGGTTATCAAGCCCCAAACTTGTGTGAAGCCTTCCATTTCTAGGGTTATCAAGCCCCAACCTTGTGTGAAGCCTTCCATTTCTAGGGTTACCCAGCCCCAAACCCTGTGAAGCTTTCCATTTCTAGGGTTACCCAGACCCTGTTCCTACCTGAAGTCTACCAATTCTTGGATCATCCAGCAGTATGCCCTGTGAAGCCTACAATTTCTGTAAGATGATCCAGACCCAAACCCTGACTTTAACCTAGGATTTCTATGATCGTGCTAACAAGCCTGTCTGACCCCACCCCATCCCACTGTACCACCACCCAATATACACCAGTAACCACCAACCAAAGCCCACAATCCATCCCTTCAACCCTGATTCACTTATAACAAACAGTCTGAGATATGGAGGAAGATAGTGGAGAAAAAGCGTTGTTCCATTTGTGAGTGCATCAATTGCCTCTCTCCACCTCTGCCAATAATTAGGACCAAGTAGAACCAGGGAACATGGGCTGCCTTTGACTGTGGCTAGTTGAGCTTCCCCGACTCAATACTCAGCAGGCGGATGCAAATTCTCAACTGTAAGAGAGATGCCAACCAACAATCATTTATTGATTCCAGCAGTATATTGGTGTGTCTGCAGCTTGGCCACTCCTGATTCGTCAGCTCACCCCAGGATTAAGCGGTTTATTCCAAGCGTTACAGAAGCAGTCTCTATCACTCCAATTTAATTACTGTGGCTGTGTTTGCCTCATTAAGCTGTCCCACTCCTAACAGTAATCAAACATAATGGGATATGCCATTTCATATTTAGGGGCACCAGCACTCATGCAAATATATCAAGGTCCTCCATCACGTGGCATGGATTGGTAGAAAGTGGAATGTCTAAATACAGCTGATGAAAAAAGAAGCTCTGTGTCTGTCCTGAAAGACAGTGGCTTTAGCCGAAGAAGCCAGGGAGCGATGTGTTCCCATATGTGGAACGGAACCCAGACTTAAACTTAAACTTATTAGTGGCTGGCCTCAGTAGATACAATCCTCACATGATGACAATCTTCCATAATATATTTCCCATGGTTACAATTCTACCATTACATATTCCCTACATAGCAATCTCCCCATTACAAATTCATTACTTAACAATTTTTCATTATATATTCTTAATGAAGAAGGGGCGGTGAGGTAGCCTAGTGGTTAAAGCGTTCGCTCCTCACGCTGACCCGGGTTCGATTCCCCACCCGGGTTCGATTCCCCACATGGGTAGTGTGTAAAGGCCATTTCTGGTGTCCCCTGTCGTGATGTTGATGAAATATTGGGGTAAACTAAACTCACTCACTCTTAATGATGACAATCGCCAATTTAATGTTTACCACATAACAATTTCCTATCATACTTTCCCTACAGATAGCATTCTTCAAACATGTATATTCACGAAATGATAACAACCTCCTATTACAGTAAATACTAATCTCATACTATATTTTCCCAGAAGATAACAATCTTCAAATATATACATTTCCAACACAACATTAACAATCTCCCATTACATATTCTCTACAGATAACAATTTTAAATTACATATTCCCTAAATGATAACAAATGATAATAATCTCCCATAATATATTCTCTACAAGACAAGCATCTTCTGATATTTATGCCCCACAAGATAGGTACCTTCCACTATATATTCCCTGCATGACAATCTTCCTTTA